AAACTCACCGGATCTCAATGTGATGGACTTTTCCATTTGGGCAATCTTAGAGGCTCTTTGACCTCTTAGAGTCTGCTCTTTGACCTTGAAGAAGTCTTTGACCTTGAAGAAGTCTTTGACCAAAGGATGGAAGGCGACTCCTCAAGATGACATTCGGGCCGCAGTGGAGACATATCCGAACCGATTAAGGGCTGTTATCAAGGCAAAAGGCGGTCATATCGAATGATCTCTTGTTTCCTTATTTGTTACTGTTAAATAAAGCTATTTCTGTTTAAAAATCTTCTTCCAGTGAAACTTCTTGGTGTGCAATGCCTTGAGTATCTTGTTGCAAGAATTATGACGCACCCTGTAAGTATAAGAAAGGATTGAAGAAAGGATATTCAGGCAACATTCTGGTCTGTGGAGACTCCGAGAATGATTTGCCAATGTTGGAAGTATGTCTTGAATATGCAAAAGAGAAAGTGTTCACAATTTGGGTGACACGAGACGAGAGATTGAGACAAAAGGTGATTCTTATGATTCTTATGATTGGAATTGAATCACCGATCATTTTCAGGTCAGCTCACTCTGTCTTCAATACGGAAATTCGCATGTGGCTTTCGTTTCGTGTCCAGGGGTGAGATAATAATAATTTGAAATGCAAAAAAGATTCAGACCAATCTAGAGTAAATACCGGAATCCAGCTAATCTAGACTGAATACCCAATCTAGTCTAAATACCGTAATCGAGCTAATCTAGACTAAATACCGTAATCCAGCTACCGTAATGCACTAAGAATCTCTGAAGAATTAATTCTGATCCCCGTTTTCATCCTTCTTTCCAGTTCATCCTTCTTTCCAGGTTCTCCTTGGCGCAATGGCTCAAGCCACAGTTCGGGTATTCAATCTTCGACCGGTCAGTGGACAAGAACAGCAAAATTATGATGAATATTAAGCTTATTGTTTATTTATTTATTTCTAAAGTTTTCTTTTATTTTAAGGGTAGCTAGGTCTTCGCAGCTCACAATTTTGCTCCAACAAGAAACGCCTTTCGTGCAATCAAACCTTTTTTCAACTTTGCATAATTGAGTAACACTTAGATTTCAGTCCATTTGTTGTTTTTTTCTTGATTTTAAGATCTAGCCTTATTTGATTACGGTTCTTACTATTCAAGGTGATTTGTTTGTGCTTTTCTTTGTTAGTTTGAAGGATCATCAACTTTGTCTATGCCAAAGCTTTTGTTTTGATGAGCCTTTTTGTTAATCAACTTGAAATTTTACATATTCCTAGTGTTTTCATATACTTCTTTCCTTTCTAGATCTTTGTTTTCCAAATAAAATAATGTTGTTAACCCTTTGCATTCGAAATATTGACTTTCTTTCTTTGCCTTGCCTTGAACATAAGTTGCTTGTTGAATAAAGATTTGCATTGTTCTAAGTTCTGTAGATGATACAAGTTAATATGTTGCGTTTGAATCCAAACTAGTGTCAGAAGCCGAACTAGTGTCAGAAACCGAACTAGTGTCTGAAGCCAAACTAGTGTCAGAAGCCGAACTAGTGTCTGAAGCCAAACTAGTGTCAGAAGCCGAACTAGTGTCTGAAGCCAAACTAGTGTCAGAAGCCGAACTAGTGTCTGAAGCCAAACTAGTGTCAGAAGCCGAACTAGTGTCTGAAGCCAAACTAGTGTCTGAAGCCAAACTAGTGTCAGAAGCCGAACTAGTGTCTGAAGCCAAACTAGTGTCTGAAGCCGAACTAGTGTCAGAAGCCGAACTAGTGTCCGAAGCCGAACTAGTGTCAGAAGCCAAACTAGTGTCTGAAGCCGAACTAGCGTCCGAATCCAAACTAGTGTCCGAATCCGAACTAGTGTCCGAAGCTGAACTAGTGTCCGAATCCGATTAATCAACTAAATTAATCAACTTTTTCCCCGTATGACTTCACTTTAAGAATCTATAAGTCTTACTCTACAAAATGACAATAAAATCATCAAAATCGGTCAACTAGTTTTTGGAGATACAGCACATAAAGTGGAGTCACGTCTGAATCCTAACAAACCTCAAGCGTTTAGTTAGGATTCGGACGTGACAAATACCGTATTTTCTCTAATAGTAGTGCACCCTGAGCGTCGCCTAAATTGCGTCGCCTAAATTTCGAGAACCGCTTATCAGAACCTATCGGTGTGGGGTCGGAAAATGTAGCTGACGATGAGATCTAGTGGGGGATTAGAGTGTTGAGCTTCTGCAAAAGCTTGGAAACCGTAAAATAGTCACCAACTCGGCTCGTCGGGATGCACTACTATTAGAGAAAATACGGTATACTTTTATCAACCATTAGGCACATCTCATACATCTCTAATTAGAGAGGGTCACTGTAATCCTCTAATTAGGCATTTTCATCAAGCATCAAGCAGACATTTGTATCGTGTAATGCTCGTCTGAGCATCGAATCGTAATCTAGACATATGCGTACTTTTTCAGAGTACTTTTTCCAGTAAACAGCTTCCATTTCGTCTAGCTTTGTTTTTGTTATCAAATATCAAATAAATCAATAACCAGAAGTAACCAGAAGAGTGAACAATACAAGCTGAACAAGAAGACGATACAAGCTGAACAAGAAGACGATACAAGCTGAACAAGAAGACAATACAAGAGTGATCAAAGTGTTGATCGGTGGCCACAAAGTCAGTCAAAGTGTTGATCGGTCAAAATCATGACTAAATCTGACAAATTCTCATCAAACATTTACTTATATCAGCAGCCAACCTTTCTAACGATCTCCAGAATGTCAGTTTTCGTTTCATTTTACAAATGGTCATTTTTCAAAAGGCAAAAAACAGAAGAGAGTCATTGATTTGCATGCGAGACATCGATTGGCGGGAGAGAGGAATTCTCTCAAATAGAAAGCTCTTTTTGAGAGAAGGGGCCTTTGAAGGGGCCTCGTCGGGCCTTGCCCCTTTCCCCATCCCTTTCACCTATTTATTCCCCTTTCCACAGATCTTTTGCTGGCCATTTCTAAAAAGCTGCCATTTTGGGTAGGCCCTGAATTCGAGTGACATCATCTCGATGTCACAACTTCCGCGATCCGCCTCGTATGGAGCTGCAGATGCTGTGGAAGAAGGTTAGTGTTAAAGCAATTGATTCAAGAAACAGTCAAGAATCAATATTAGACTTTTAAAAGTTATCCTAGCTGTCTGGATATCCATACCCTGTCTAAAACTGAATCCTGTCTTAAAATGTAGTATTGCGAAGTCTTTAGCAGTCTTTAGCTTCATCAAATCTAAACGTTCTGGCTAAAAGTGTTTTAAAATCTATATTCTGATCCAGATTCAAATCCAGATTCAAATCCAGATCAAATCCAGATTCAAATGCAGCTTCAAATCCAGATTCAAATCCAGATCCAATCCAGCTTCAAATCCAGTTCAAATCCAGATCCAATCCAGCTTCAAATCCAGCTCCAAATCCAGATTCAAACCCAGATTCAAATCCAGATCCAATGCAGATCCAATCCAGCTTCA